GGTATGTCGGTAGAAAGTGCGCTTCGCAAAGTGGTTGGCACTAGTGAAAGGTCAATCAAACTAAAGGAGTACACCCTGGCTGGATTCCTTGACATCGAATCCAAAAATTTCAATAACGTAAACACGAACGCGATCCGAGAGGCGTTTATAAAGAATGGAGTCTAGGATTTCATAGTTGCATGGATTGGCACAATGCTTGAAAGCAGAGTCATTATTGCTAATATGAAAACGGATTCCTTGACCAGGAAGACTACAAGGGGTACTTCACAGGGAGGGGTATTATGACCCCTTCTCTGGCTCTTGGTAGTTGACGAATTCTTCCAAACCTTCAGGGCTACAAGAATAAAGGTTGTTGCCTACGCAGATGACGTCACCATCTTAATCTTGGGCAAATACTTGTCAATGATTAGTGAGGAATCAGCACTTGGCGAAACCTCTACGTGGGCTAAAAGTAACGGCTTAGGGGTTAATCCTACTAAGATAGAGCTTGTCCTGTTCAAACGGAAAACCAAAATACCTACTTTCACTTACCTAAACTAGATGGAATTACACTGAATCTTTCCTCGGAGACCAAATATCTTGATGTCGTCCTTGATTCCAAACTAAATTGGAAAAGGAATATTGAGGAGAGAACTAGGAAAGGACTAGCTGCATATTATGTCTGCAAAAAACCTTTGGGATGCGATGGGGATTGTCACCGTACGTAGTACACGGAATATACAATTTAGTCCGCATCGAAAAAAACACAGAGATTGGCTTGCTTAAGTATCATCGGAGCAATCAATAGCACGCAGGGTTTAAATGTAACACTACATCTCCTACCACTGTGTATGTTTATTTAAGGCTGTGCTGCTAAAGTGCTTCGGGAGTTTAAGATGTGGAAACCAGCTAACTACGGACACCGTACAATTTTAAGGAGATTAGACGAAGGGGTCATGGCTCAATCAAGGCGGATCTAGATTCTGCTACAGCGCCTTTCAGGCCGAGATATATGCTATCAAAAAAGCGGCCAACCTTATACAACAAAACACAATTCGTCTCTCGATTATCACGGTTTTTGTGGATAGGCAGGCCGCACTGGGAGCAATTGAATCTAAAACAGTTAAATCCAAGATTGTATTAAATTATCGTGCCTCACTGATGAGCATCAAACATCACAAGGTCTCTCTTTGCTGGATTCCTGGACATAGCAATGTTAAAGGAAATGAACTAGCAGATGAGATAGCTAGAAGAGGTTTTAAACTGCAATTTAAACAATTTATGGGCTGTAAGTTCGTTAGAACCCTATAGACTAGGTTGGACAAAATAAAACGAAAAGCCTTTTAGGCTTCAGCAAACCTGCAGTTAGTGTGCTTACTGGAGTACTAGGGGGGCACTGTGTCATTGCACCTATGCTCCAACGGTGTCGAATTCTAACTATCTTATGCACGATTATGTACGAGTTGTCAAGATGAAGAGGAGGTAGAATCTATCAACCACTTCCTTTGTCTCTGTCCAGGACTTCAGACAAAGCGACTTCAATGTCTCGGGGATAGCTTTTTCACTGACTTGGAAGAGATAACGAAAGCAAATTTATCGGATCTCCTCAATTTCATCTGGAAAACCAAATGGTCTAACAAGGATACCAAAGGTTAGTAACTCGCCTCTCTCGACAAAAATTTTTTGAGGGCATTGCAATGGGCAATATATGCCCCCGAATGGAAGTGTGGACAACTGTCAGCCTGCGCCTTCCGAACCTGACTTAATCTAACACAAGATGGGAGAACTCAACGATGTGCAGACATATGTTGCAAGTTGACTTCATTTTGTTAACAAAAAATTTAACAATACCGTTGAGATGTCCTATATGGATATCAGTTTCGTGGCAGATTTGTTGACAGGTTACTGCCGGGTAGGGAACTAGGCTATCTTCGATTTAATGGTTCCGGTCGCATTTATGAGGAAGACGGAGACCGTGCCTCGTATCTGCTTTGTGACTGTCCAGTGTATGCGCAATGTTCACTTATCCCGCTAGGGACTAGCTTTCAGAACTCCATTTTTGTGAAAAGTTCAAGTTTCCACAACGCCCCATTTGGATTCCTAGGACTACTAAAATAACTCACCCTAACTGAAAAAAAACAAAAAACTTTAAATAGCTCTTTTATCGTTATGCAAATTAGCTTTCACATCAGTTACAATGAACTTTAATGAAAAATTTTAACAATGACACTTAATGTGTTTTGACAAACAAACTATCCTGTCTGAATACTATCTTTTTCTAATACAAATTAATAGAATTTAATGTATCGGTCTTATATTCAAAAATATATAGTATGATAACGTTATATACATAACATATGTCCTTGATAAAATGACATAAATGTCATAAATCTCTAAAACTGATTTGAAACTAAATACGCAAAAGTATCAGCTGTTTATTTGTCACTCCAAAGAAGGAATTCTCAGTCAAATTGCCAAAACAAAACCAATAAATAAAAATGATTAATATTTTCACACAAATGATTTTGAAAAGTAAAATATATTGATGAAAATTATATACTCATAATTTTATTAAAATTGTTATTAAAATTTTTTGTACAGAAAATAAACATAAATTTCTTATTCTAAAGTACTTTCATCAATTTCACACGAAAAATTGACAAAACGCTCTATATAAAAAAATTGTCTACGGCCCATGTTATGTAAAGTGTCACGGGTACGTCAAAATCAAAATTGTTGTTGCTTTCAATACAAATTAAAAAACAGAGAGTGAGAGAAAAAAATAAATCTGGCTTTAAATTCAGTTATGAGAGCCTCGTCACTAAGTTAAAGTCGTGTACATTTATATACATACGTCATATATTTCGTTTAAAATTCAGGCACAACCGAAAAGTCCAAAAGTAATAGTAAAAGTACAAAATTGACAAACCGATGTGACACTCTGCAGAACAAGTATTTTTTTGATGTGGCAGTAACACTCTACAAAACATGAACATACGGATCATGTTATGCTTACAGTCAAGCTTCAGCAATTGTTGTTGCTTGTAATGTAAAATGAAAATTTGACACTGACAGCTCACATCATTTCGCTTTGTAAGAAGTTTTTTTTTGAGTTTTATTTTAATTTTTTATGCGAAATAACACTAGTCTGAAGCAATAAAATCAGCTGTTTTTTTAAATGCACAATACGCAACTGCAATAATGCCAATTGTCATCATTAAGGTCTAGCATTTTTGTCCAGTTTATGTTTTTTATAAAATATAGATTTTTTTACATTTTTTTATATAGTACATTATTTTGTTGTTGGCGCGTATGTTTTTTGAATTATTATCCAATTCTAATAGATAAAATATAGTATTGTTAAATAAAATAATTTAAAATAGATCATTTAAAAAAAAAAATATTATTTTTACATAATTTTATGTCCTTTTTGGTTTCATTAATATGCAACATATAATTAAAAAAAATTTATTATAACTTTTTTATTTATTTATTTATTATTAGTATAAGTTGGTAGTTGGTCATTTTGTGTGGTCTATCCAATGTGCTACTTATTCATTAAAATCCTTCAATTAATGTACATATATTCAACTTTATAAGGAGATATTTCACGAAGGTGCTAATAAATTGATGCAGTGGAAGTAGCTTTGTCTCAAAACAGAAGTGGCAGGCTGTCTACAATATTTTGATATTATATACATATACATATTTAAATATACATTATACATAATTCCAAATGAGAAATATTAAATTCTCATTTGCAAGATGATCATATTTGAATTCGTAGCACATTATCTAACCGTCTGTCCATCCTGATTTGAAAACAAACTTTCAATTATTGTGTCAGTTTGCTTTTAAAGGAAGCAGCTTAAGAAACCATCAATGTTTAATAAAATTATTGTAGTCAAAACTTATTTAGCGGATTTTAAAATTATTTATAGTTAATATATGTAATGAATTTAGTGAACAAAATATTTAAAATTAAAACTTAGATGTTTATTTAGTGTCACTTAAATAAACAAAGAATGTACTCTTTGTATTTGTAATAATATTTCAGAGTGTAAAAAAACAATAATACAAAAATCATTTTCTTTTTTAAATTTTTGGGATTTTTTTAATTCAATAATACTAAAATTTTACAATTCCTGATATCATAAAACATTAGCATCATCTTTTTTAAATTTTTAAGATTTTTTTTATTCATGTTACAAGTGATTAATAAATAATCAATTCCAGCCAATTTAATTTTGCAATAAAAATTTTTAAACTATAGTATTTAGTATATCAAAAATGTCGTTGAGGAAATATATTTCAGTAGCTGACGTCTTTATTTAATAGAATTGGACTACATTGAGAGAGTCGTTAGCTATTGTAATAAGCATTTGTAGTTTAATTATGCATAAGGCGTAAGTTTTTGCAAGTACTAAATATTTCTATAAATTTTTATGTCTCATGTAATTGCAGTAATCTTCTACTACAGAATCAAAGTCCATTTTACACACTATCGAATTATTAATATAGAAAAATGTTTCACTTTAAAGCGTTTAAAGTGCTTATAGGCGTAAATAGTTCGTTTAAATATTATTTACTGTAACATATGTTATACAGCTGCGACATTTGGCTTCAAACATAACATCTATTCGTGTACAAAGATTTTAAATATATGTCATTATTTACTATAAAGTATACTTAAAACATGTGTTATTTCATTTTTTTAATATAAAAATTTTACAAAAGAGTGGATAAAGTATTTGAACTACATAAAAGAGCTGTTTCCAAAATATTTTTTTAATACGCAGACATTGTGGTATATGTATAGTAAAAGAATTTCAAAACAAAATATTTTATACCAGTCAAAAGTATGGTAATAGTGATACATAGATTAATATAAATTTATATAAACTAATTTATATATTAAAATGCCTTAAAAAAATCATAATACATAAAATTTGACATAAAGTAATACTATTTATTTGATATGCGCAGGGTGCGCCATCTGTATTAAAAAAAAACTGTCAAAAGAAATACGACATACTTTTCGTTTTTATGCTTTCATTCCAACATTCATTTCTGTCATATTAACACCCTGATACAAAGTGAAACTGAGCTTATTTTTATTTGCAATAAACTCGAAGAAAAAATGAGTAACGAATAAAATGAAGCGTGTTCGTAATAAATTTAATTAAAAATATTTATTGTACATAAAGTGAGTTTTTTAGCGTATTGCATCATGGGAACCGTTTTTGCCTATGATGGGAACAGTAATTTCAAGTAAATCGAGAACAGTTTCTTTGACCATTCTGTCGCGGCCATCTTTTAATGAACGGGCTACATTTGGCTGATTATTAAGAACCAAAGCATCGATGCAGCAGCAGCTGTGCGGAATAGGAACACGGCACGAGAGAAAATAAACAAAACAAGCGGACGCGGACGCGGAGTGTTACTGCTCCCAGAATAATTTCTAGTTATACATGCATCATATAAATACATAATATATGTATAACTATACATATATAAAAATTATATATGGTATATTTTTTAAGTTTAAAACTCTAATTTTACGAATTACAACAGTGTTTTTTATGTGATATATTGTGCACCGAAGACTGCCACTAATTACAACATTCTACTGAATTCCTGCTCTGCTGTGCAAAAGCAAAATTGAATGTGTTCATACGTACAACAAAAGTAGTAAGTACTGCTTCTTTCATTATCATTTGACATTTGCTAATTTTAATTTTTGATTTTATATAATTTTTGATACTTCAAGGAATTTTCAAGCCAGAGAAACTGGGTTTTGTTCAATGCTGTAATCTGTGTTCGTTTCTTGTAGTTTATGCCAAATGCATTTAAACGCAAAACTAAACAAAATTATGTAGCTAAGACCCGTAAAAGTTTGCTTAACAAGTAATTGCTTGCGTCTTTTGGAAGACACAAATCAAAATGTAGCTAATTGATGTAAAGGTTTCTGATAAGTTCTCACATCTCTCGAATCCAATTGTATACAAATATAATCAAACATGCAGGCAACGAGAATGGATCATTAATTCTGAAACAAAAAAAAATTGAAAAATTCATGATTAAATTCATGAAATTTTGCCATAGCCGCTAATGGTATTTGCATCAGTACTTCGTATTGATAGAGAACCACATTTTAACACTGAAAATGGACTTTGACCGTTTTTATGCTATTAACTAGCACTTTTGGAAATTTTTGGTGATAATTTTGTGAAATTGATTTTGTTTTAGTCATTGCTAGATTTTGCTATGTGTTATTTTATTTTATTGCTATTAGCTAGCACTTTTACTTATTTTGATTTGTGCCCTTAGGATTGAATGATTGCTTGGATGGTGTAAAGATAATTATTTTTATGCTATTAGCTAGCACTTTTGGACATTTTTGACTAATTTTGTGAAATTGATTTTGTGTAAATCTTTGTTAGGTGTTAGCTAGCTACCACATTGACTTTTACTTATTTTATTTTGTAACATACATATATACATATAAACCAACTTAAGTGTTGAGTGTTTATATTACTTACTTACTTACTTACTTAGTTGGCCATTACAGACGTGTGTCGTCCTTAGCCGCGTCGAGTAGCCTCCGCCAGTCAGCCCGATTAGTTGCTTTCTGATGCCAGTTGGTAGTACCGTGCCCCCCCAAATCGTTGGTCACCTGGTCCTTCCACCGAAGATGCGGACGTCCTCTACCGCGTTTTCCACCTGCGGGTACCGAATCAAATATCTTTCTGAGTGTTTGTATAGATGGAGTAAAAAGTTTTATTTTCACACTTTTTGTAGATTTTTGGTGCTAATTTCGTGAAATTGATTTTGTTTTAATCCTTGCTAGATGCTAGACTTTGGTATATGTTCCTTTATTTTATTGCTGTTAGCTAGCACTTTTACTTTTGGTGACAATTTTGTGAAATTGATTTTGTGTTACTCTTTGGTATGTCTTAGTTCTTTCTATAAGTTCTTCTTTTTTTATTCCTGTTAACTAGCACTCATTTATTTGAACACTTTAATTTTTTTTTATGCACCATATATATATATAAACTAACTTAGGCATTAAATGGTTGCATGTAGAGAGTAAAGAGAAGTACTTCGTAGTTGATATAAATTCAGTTTTGTAGGACAATTTATGTTGAATATGACACTTTCAATATTGATTTTATTACTTTAGTAGACAATCAAATCATCATAGAAATAAATACTCAGTAATATTTGGACCCAATTATTTATATCTTTGTAAAATAATCGATATAAATCATATGTCAGTGTGGCCCCTATTGAACTGCGTTCATTTTTAAGTTGTTATAGTAACACTAGGTCCATATTTAGCCCAATGATGAGCGATTTTATTGTTCGAGCCTTTTTAAAAAAAAACTTCGTGGTACAATTTAAACGTTATAATGTGATATAGTGATATATTAGAGCCTTCATACACCCTTCGTACATGACAAAATTTTTTTAAATTATTCATTGTACTAAAATTATAATGGGAATTACAAAATGCAAAAAACTTGCAGCTGCGTTAGAAGTGATCCGGATAAGGGATTTGAATTGAAGAAATTTGCGTTGCAGTAGAATATAAACAGTCACTCATGGAAAATAACCATGAAACTGAATACTTCAAAATGTAGCACATCAAAATGTTAAATATTCTAACTATTTGAATCAAAGGAATCATTTGGATAGTTCGAATTATTCGAATTACAATGTTTGCTCATATCCGGTTTTACGAACTTTATGAAAGATCAGGAATATCAGAATGCTATCGGCATGTTCAAAATTTTCTAAATTCGCATCTACTGATTTTCACCAGTATCATTATTTCTTTCTGAGCTTATGCTTAGTGTTCAGACCGCTATAACAACCCTCTGTTCAACCTATTGGTGATATGACAGTCTTATGGCTGTAATATAATTGTATATAACCAAATACGATAACTCTAATTGTTTATATGATGTTCACCTATATAAATGGAAGTCTTCAGAATGCCAAGTTTTAAAAAGATCATATAATGTTCTTTTGGATTGGCAAATCTAGGGTAATTTTTTCAACAGAAATTTACTATTAGTACTATTTTAATTTTCGATTGGTTAAACTTAAAATATATAACATTCTAAATGAATTTATATCATTCTAGATATTCTACATATTTAAATTAATAAAATTACGACGAAATGGACAGTTCGAACAAAAAATACAGATCGGGCGCAAATATAGATATGCTAATCAAAACCCACATAATATCAGCGATGTAGTACTAAACATAATTTAGATAAATAAGTATTGTGACATATTGTAAAATCGAAGTATCGTTAGGCCTTAATCATACTCTAATATAAACGTAATTACATAATTTATGTACGACCCTTTGATCGCTACATATCATGAATATTCATGATATGTAAACTTTCCAGGACTCAGACAAAGCAAAGCACTGATAACACCGTACTCCTACAAAGACATTCTTAAATTCTCAAAATGTAATTTAAGGTTGATAAAGGGTTTTATTACAGGTCATTATGGTCTGAAATATCACCTTCATAAACTACAATTATCTGCTAACTCGGAATGCAGATTGTGCCTCGAAGATGAGAAAACGACCATGCACATTCTTTGTGACTGTCCAGCTTTAATAACGCACAGAAGAAACCTGTTTCATAAAGAATTTCTGTCACCAGAACAGATTAAGAACTCTTCTCTAGATTTAGTTCTAGACTTTATTCACAAAGCTTTAAGGGGCTTTGTTTAATCAATAGTGAAACTGGTACAATAGGTCTCTTCTGGCCGCAGTACCGGCTGTTGGGCAATTTTCACGTCTACTCTTTAATAATAATAATAATAATAATAATAATCATGAATATTCAGCCGAAATACGGAACAAACTTGTTCCAATAGACAATTTATATATATATATATAGATATCGAATGACATACAAAATAAATTTCTACTAAAATATTGCAATTTCTCAGTTCTCAGTTCGATCTCAGTTCAATTTAGAAGAATGTGTCATGTCGTATATATATATATATATTATACTTATATATATATATAATATATATTATAATAATTTATATATATTTATATATATATATATTATATAATATATATATATATATACCATCAATAAAATTTTTTTTTTTTTTAGATTCAAATATGTTTTATATCATATATAAATATTTTATTAAAGTTAAACTAACTTTTTATGTTTATTTAATATAAAGTAATTTAATATAACTAAATTAATAATTTATGTTGGATTGAACACATTTATGTTGTACATATATATATATATGTATACCACATAAAAAAAATTTTTTTTTTTTTAGTATTCAAATATGGTTTATATCATATATAATATTTTAGTAAAGGTAAATCAATACTTTTATGTTTATTTAATATAAAGTAATTTAATATAACTAAATTAATAATTTATGTTGGATTGAACACATTTATGTTGTACACATTAATGCGCCTATTTTTAATGTGTTCCTCAACTGTAGGTCTACCCTACATAACGTTATGTATCTGTTTTTCCTTCTGTCATGTATACACAAACCTGAGTCCAATCGATCTTTAGAGATCCCCATAGAAGTGACTAGATTTCTCCGTATTGTTCTTGGTTGACTTTAATTTAAGTTTCATTCATTCCACAATTCGCTCTTACTCCCAAATAATCCCCTCCACTTTTACACAACCAATACCAATCCATAATCTAACTCATGCATTAGTCACGTAATTCCTTTTATGTTATCTGCTTTACAGATCCCTGCGGGCTATAACAAGACTAACAACAAGCACGGCCAAGAAATACCTACCCATTATGTGAATTCCCTTTGGGGGTGGTTGAACGGCACTTGGTCGTCTTTGACGAGTGGCTCCGGGACGTAGACCCAGATGCAGTATCTTCTTCGAGACCTAGGTTGACTCCCAACAAGGTCCTCAATAGGCCTCCGCCTATCATTTCTTAGGATGAACGTAATCTTTCTCGTACGGCAAGAACTGTCCTATCTCAATTGAGATCAGAATATAGCCATGTGCTTAGCAGTTACTTGTCACGTATTTACACGTCCATTTCTAATGTGTGCCCAAACTGCAGTTCCACGACCCATGACGTCGCCCATTTGTTTTCCTGCCCCAACGCACACACCAATTGAAGTCCAATCGACCTTTGGACTCGTCCCCTTGAAGTAGCTAGGTTTCTTCGACTGGATCCTGGTTAGTTTCAAATTATTCCCCCCCTCCCCTTTCCTCATCCCAACACTCATTCCCACCTATTCCATTCCTTATCCCATGTATTCGTCTTGTAATCCTTTCATGTTATCTGCTTTCAGGTCCCGGCGTGTTACAACAACAACAACCTACCTACCCATAATAAATGAAGTAACTTTTGGCTATTTAAGGTTCTCGATTTTCGTATAATCAGTTAAGTGAAAACGATAATTTTTTTTGTTTATAAATTGTTTAATTGGACAATTTTTTCTCATCAGAGAAGCTGGATATTCAATAATTGGTCGCGTTCGTTCAAGAAGTTGTTCTCTCTATTTAGTCAAGTTTTTTTGTTTTGGAACTTTGCTGAAATTTTTCGCTTTTTGGAACTTAAATATCAATTTGAGTCCGTTTTTAAGTATTTATTTAAGTGATCAGTAGATTAATTTTCCATTATAGTGAAAATTTTGTTAAATTTGATAAAAAATTTATTCTTATTATATAGAAAGTTGTATTCAGGGGTTTCAATAACATTAACAATTATGGGTTTTCAGTGAAATATATCGCTATTACAGTTAAATTTTATCCTGGGTACGCAAATGTTTCTACGTACATTTAAATTATAAAATCCAGCTATTTTTGCTATCAGTTCAAGAGTTTTAGTAGTTTTATGTGTATAGACAAGGGGAATATGGAGCCCATATAATCTTCTTAAAGTGTGCACTAAGTAATATTTCATACTGAACCTAAATCCCATTTAGGCGGTAACATCTTTCGATCAATGGTAATCGATCTTTATAAGTAGTCTTTATATGAATTTTTAGGAAATGACATCGGTAATTATTTTGGACACTTCATCGGTAATTTCTTGTAAATTACTTATTTGGTCATTCAGTACCTTTCAGGGAAAATGTTAAAATCTTATTATAAGTGAATTATTTTAATAATATATAAATAAATCAATTTCAAATACAAAATTGTTTGTGAAGCCGTCCTACTGTCTCGCTTCTTTCTTACCTACACTTATAAGCGCCTTGAAGACGGTCGCAGTTCAATGGGACCACTCTATACTTATATATGTACATGTATTCATACTTTAATATCAAACACTTAGCAATAACAATGTTTTTTGAAATTTCAGAAGTAATGTATGTCTATTTCATTTTATTCAGTAACTCAACTCATTAAGAGAATTTAAAAAAAAAATTTTCCTTAAAGGTGTCGTGAAAAAACTGCTGATTTTTTGCAAATAGAAAACTGTGCTGTGCTCTACATGTATGATTAGTGCTGTTTGCGTATTGAAGTGTAATAAGTACATGTGTGTGTGTGTAAAATTGTTTTGGAACTTTACTTCTCCTGCGTTATATATTATTTATATTTTTATGTTCTGCTATTAATATTAAAGCAAATAAAATTTTATATAATTTTAAAATTATTATTTATATAAAAACATTAAAAGAATCGTATTAATGCATGAAATAAATATTTATGTAAATAAATGCTCAATAATAGAATGATCGAACACAACACTCTTGTTTACCAAGTGAGAACAGTTTTAAAAATGTAATGGGAACAGTTTTCGTTCTCGTATACACTCGTACATACAATTTGTATACGGTGCGAATTTCAGTGCAAATGAACTGTGGCAAAACGGTATGACAATTACGTTTTGCTTTTCCTCTACACAATTTGAAAACAAATTTGATAAACTATAATAATTTTTTTATATTGTAATATGTAAAGTTCTTTTTTTATTACGTTTTAACTTTGTATTACATTAATTCTTTATGAATTAATATATGCGTTGTTTTTATATTAATTTTTTTTTTTTTCAAATTAGTATCAAACTTTTTTTAAAAAAGTTAATTTTAAAAAAAATATTTTAAAGTATTCTATTAATTTGTAATTTTATTTTAAAAAAATATGGATTTTTAGTTTTATAACAATGCAATATATAAAATATTGACAAAAAGCTGCGCTACAGCGCAAGTACCAATAATTTCGTTGGTAAGTTCACTAATTCTGCCCCGTATTATATTTGAAACTTGTTCCAAAATAAATATAAGCGATTTTAATATATATTATACTACCCTAAAAACTATATACATATGTGACGAAAAGTTATTTTATTTCATTATAATTAGTTTAGGTCGCAGAAATTGTGTCTAAATTTTAGTGCGTGTTTATCTAAAAAAAGAAGAGTACAGAAGGATGGTATAATACGACAATAATATTAGACAAAAACATTATTTCTTTCTTTCTTTCTTTATTTCTTTTGTGGATTCTTTCGAAAGAAATAATGTTTTTGGGGGCCCCCTTCTTCAACTCACTTAACGGTATCTCCAGCATTAGCATTAGCCAGATTTTTACCTTTGTTAATGCCTCTGGCTGGTTCTATCTACTACCCACTATTACGAGGTTTTTTGTGGATTCAAAACGGCTTTCCTTTTGCTTTTAGCTAATTGATGAGGTTTCGTCCTCCCTACACCACAACTAACTAACTAACTTGGAAATAATTTCTTTATATATATAGATGTATATATATAGATATATAGATGTATAATGCTTTACCATTTTCGCAATTATATCAATAAATGTGTAGCAATTAGTCAATTTTTCATACAAAATCTATACAAAAATGTACATTAAAATAGCGGCAAAAGAGAACAATTAGTTTTAACGGGAGTATGCAAGTTTTTATAAAAGTAAATAGATGATATGGCGGCGAAATATTAAAAAAAAAAAACACTTCGGCCAGTAAAGAAAAAAGTGTTACCAACGCACTAAGCGAACTTTTGTGAATCGAATATTGCATACATAGGTATGTCAAAAATTACATGTAAACAAAAATTCAAATAAAATTGAAAAATTGCAAAAAAATAGAAAATTGGGAAATAAATTTCTAACATTTCATTCCTTTTAATTTTTTAATTTTTTTATTACAAAATGTGATTTGCTTGACAGATTGCAACAGTGATGCCAATGTCTCGCTTAGCGAATATAAACCAGCATGCGTTTTTTGTCACACTTGCGAGTTACCGAAAACGCTTAATATTGTTTTGTTTTATTTCATTATTCGCTTACTTTATTGTCGTAGTGCAATTATTAATTTTAATTTCGTAAAAATCGCTTGAATTCATTAGTTGTAAAGTGTATACATAGTAATCACCAACGTGAGTTGTGTACCGAAACCTGAAAATAATCAAAGATTGTATTTCTCTTAAAGTCAAACAATTGGAACCACTTACATCTTTCTAAAAACTTTAGAATAACAACTAAACTTGCATGTCAAACACGAGGTTCGCATTGGTACGGTACCCTGTTGACATACCAACACGTATACACAAAATAAAAATTTGTCTTTACACCCCTTTACTCTTTGGTCCTAGGATTTTAAAGAGTTCTCAATTTCGATAGTGTGTTCGTAGATGGAACGTCAGAATGATACAAAATAAATGGATCTAAATAAACAGAAGACGGACCTTTGTCATGTTCTCAAGACAATAAAAATTTGCAAGTGAGCGCTATCTAAAAAGTTTGGAGTACAACTGGTGATTTGATCCGTAAGCGTCCAATCGTTCATTTCTCCAGCTCTCAAAGATTATTAAAAAGCAGTTTATCTACGATGGCTTTTTTCTACTTCCAATATATCTACAAAGAAAATAGAAAATAATTCGTTTTTGTTGACTTGTTTACTCTGTCCTTTCCCAGCTCATGCACGCCGGCGACTCAACACTTTATGAGGCCCCTTTCTTGAGGATCTTGATCAGGACCTCCCACTAAATAGTATTTTGAGCTTCGCTAAATATTCTAATTAGTGGTTTTAAAACCTGAACTTTCCTCTATATGCGGTAAAACAATGGATCAATAGGCCTAAGTGAATCCCCTAGGGATCGCTGGTATAAAAATTTCGATTATGTATAAGCTGGTTTGTACGTATGTCTAATAAAATACCACCAATTTGAATTCAACAGGTAACATATGTATGCAGAGTGCGGCTATTTTGCTATAACAAATTTTACAGTTGATTGTAATAGCAGCCGACTTCACGTTTCGGAGCTGCAGAATAACAATTTCTACTCAATGACGTGTTTTCTTCGACGTAAGCAGTAATATCGTGAAATATTCCCGATCCCCGATTCGCCTCAGTCATACCAAGTTTAATGAAACACATCTCTATGTTCTATAGACAATAGAACAGCATACGCTGCAATAAATGGAATGACTAGTTTCGTCTTAAACCCGACATTAGCTCACAGCTAAAAATATTAATTTTTCTCTTAAAATCGTACAATTTGATTGTGATTGTATGTAGCATTGGTGACCACATAAATATAACAATTGCTAGACTGAAAATTACCAAATATTACCTAGCTTTAATCTTACAGTTTTCTCATTTTTTTTTTACTTGTTTCTAAAAAATGAGGTTCCTGATCAAAGGGCTTTGGGAAATAAGTAGCTTTTCTGTTATGAGATTCGATTTGATCACTTAGCTTATTTGATGTTTATACGATCATAACGAAACTCAGTAAACCACTTTTATATCAAGCTATCGGATGATAGCTATATCTCTGTAAATATATTACAACTTGTACATGGTAAACATCTGTTAAGAAATAATCCATACTTAAGCTTTTAAATATTCATAGAAAAAAAAAATTTACAACTTAGTTATCAAACTTAAATTTTTAAAATAAATTAATTTTAAATAATTAATAACTCTTTCCTTTTCAGATAATTTTTTAAAATGGAAGACCAACAGAACCTTAAACGCAATAACATGATATCAAACTTGCCTCTTCTATTCGCAAGTGGATATCCAACATCCTTACAAAGGATTACTGAAAAACAATTGGAAAGCTTTATACCATTTATGGTGCAATGCTCACTTGGATATATTAATCTGCAGGGAAAGATAGATGCTAGTGAGCCTGAGTGGTGGCCTGAAGATGTAACCTACACAGTTCCATTTATAAAGCCTAAGAAATTTGTCGGAGTAAGAATCAACTAAGTTTTTTTTTTTGATTTTATTTCTTACTAAATTGTTTTCTATATTTCTAGGATTGGTTAGGCAAAATGAAAGAAATAGTAATTATTTGCTATCAGTTTCACAAAAGTGTTTTTTTACTAAGATTTTGTGACGATTTGGCTTCCTATGAACAAACTAGTCTGCGTTTCATAAATAATTATAATTCCACAACCTCACTTTTCGATAGGCGAAACAACAAATTACTTGTAACGTTTCGAAACGAAAATATGGTAATAAAAATTTTAAATAATTTTTTTTTGTAATTATTAAAATATATTTAATATATATGTATATATTAAATATATTTTTTTTCATAATTTTTTTGTTTATGCCTTTACAAGTAATAAGAATGTAGTTCAGGAGTTGCAGGAACAATATGTATTAGATTAATGTTAATTTAGTTTAACGCAGAAAGTGCGGAAAGAAGAGATAAAATTAAATATTTTCTTGATTTAGAAACCTCTATCAATTTGTAGCTTAAATTGCCACATAAGCTAAAATTTTGGTTGGGCAATTTTACTTATATGTGTACATGTCATGCGGTCAAGAGTTGCATGGCTGCTCTGATGATAGGCCTTTATCAAATGACTTCTTTCTGACCTAAGTTAGGCAAATGTAATCTTACAGTAATGTATTACTGTCATTTTAAAATTAAATCAGGCTGAGATAATGTCAGATATCTGATTTAATACATAATTAACTTTTTCATATAGAAGAGATCTTCCACCGTGTCTCCATAATTTAAAGCCTTCAGATTTTAAATGAAACAACGACCTATTAAAGTAATAAATTCATTTATTTAGTTTAGAAATGTTCTGAACTATGAATCTAATAGAGTTCAAAAATATTCAAACATTTAAATACGCGTTGCTTCGAACGGCTGAAGTAATATTTGACGTAATAAAATGTATATATGTCGCGCAGATGCTTTCTGTGATGCAACTCTATGGTGTTTTAGATTAAACACTTTCTGAAAGTCATTTTCAAACATGTTTACAGCATTAATTGCATGGATTTAAACATGTTGTAAACAGTGGTTTTGGCACTCACGCGTCTTTTATGAGGTGAAATATATTTAAAGCGTCTACGTTGCTATTTATATAGTACACAACTCAAAAATCTATACCAAAACTTTTATTTATATAAAAAAAAAATAGTTTTTAATTTTAAACTAAATCATGTTTAGGACATAAAACCTGTTTCGCATTTTTTGCTTAAACTAAATAAGTTTATATTTTTTATATTAATATATTTACAATTTAATAATTATAAAGGGATTAACAATTCCAATCTCTGAGCAAATATTAGTATATTCAAATCTTTTCATATGTTAGTATTTATTGTTTTTAGATATTAATTAATCACTATCAATATATTTTACATAATTACAAAAATAAATATCAATTGAAAGATAATCGATGTTTATGTTTAGCAATATAATTAATAGTTTCTATAATTTTCTATTTCATAAAGAGTTATGATCAACAACATCGGTACCGTAAGACTTTATTGCAAGCAAAGTCTAAGCAAGATCATCATGAAAAACGGATGAGCACTAATGTAATGGTAGAGCCTGCTCCATTCGATATATATTTATGTGATCACTGTGATGCTGAATTGTACTCAAAGGAAGCTATGCAGGTAATTAATATTTTAAAACCAAAAAAGTCCTTATATGTTATAATCGTTTGAAATTTTCATTAATGATTCAAGTAAAAAGTGGTAAGAGACTAAACTCAAAAATATAGCACAAGGCAACAAAAATTTATCAACTAAAACAAGGAATAAATAGAAACAATATCAACAGCACCTTAATTAAAATGTAGAACCCCACCATAAATAAATAAGAAACTATCATAAATAATTAGGGTTTAACTCAAAAATATTGGGGACACTTCAATAGCGTAAAACAATTATTTATTTAATGTTCACAGAATGATAATAATGCCGTCGATTCTGCTAAACAAATCTCTATTTTATGTTAAAATAAAGTGTATATTAATAAATGTCTCTCCTGTTTTCAAGATATGTAATCAGTTAGTGAAGAATCAAAGAAATTTTTTTTCTAAATCCTTGAGGATCTAATAGCAGATAATACAAAAGAAATTACAAATGCGTATACAGGATATGGATAGGGTTAGGATATGGATAGGTAGAGTGAAAGTGTGAAATATTGAGAAGATTGCTGGTTAAATGTAAGTGGATTGGGAATGGATGGGATTTTAATTAAAGCTAATCTGTGTCAATGCGGAGAAATATAGCCATTTTAATTGGATGCAGCTAAAAATCAATTGGACTAAATGAAATATGTGCACTGGGGTATGAAAACAGATCGACGATATCATGAGGGGAGAACTGCATATCATGAGGGGGCACATACTGACAAATGACGCATATATGAGTGACAACTAATTGTTTGGCTCATGAATATACTGAAGATTATAATGAGCATTGAGTTACTAATTAGCACAGTATAGCACAGTGCACAGTGCATAATAAATAATGTAGAGTAAATCTATCGGGCATAAAACCACAATAAAGCTATATATCAAAGTTAGTAACGGTTAGGTTCAGTAAATTGTACATTTATGCTTATACGTCATTAGCTATCGACTTATCTAAATGTTTTTTATCTCGTCACCTAATCGTACAAAATTAATATGTTACGTTTAAATTAGTCATATTCACTATTAATTAGTCATATTCAATTGGAATAAATTTATTTATAAAAAGTGAAAGTGTGAAAGTGAGTATTACTTTTAAAATATTTGTGAGGATTAATGAGTCAAATAGTGCGTTTATGTATTTTTATTTTATTTTAGTTCATGCGTGATTTCTTAACTTTTTTTTGCGATATGAAATTGCAGCTAAAACTATATCATTATTGTGCTCTAAAATTTTTAATACAGTTTTCTCGTATATTTAATTATTCGATTAGTCCGTAGGTCCTCAATAGGCCTCCGCCTAACATTTCTCAGGATGAACGTAATCTTCCTCGTACGGCAAGAACTGTCCTATCTCAATTGAGATCAGGATATAGCCATGTGCTTAACAGTTACTTGTCACGTATTAACACGTCCATTCCTAATGTGTGCCCAAACTGCAGCTCCACGCCCCATGACGTCGCCCATCTGTTTTCTTGCCCCAACGCACACACCAATTTAAGTCCAATCGACATTTGGACTCGTCCCCTTGAAGTGGCTAGGTTTCTTCGACTGGATCCTGGTTAGGTTCAAATTACTCCCACCCCTCCCCTTTCCCTCATCCCAACACTCACTCCCACCTTTTCCATTTCTTATCCCATGTATTCGTCTTGTAATCCTTTCATGTTATCTGCTTTCAGGTCCCGGCGGGTTACAACAACAACAACAACATTAGTCCGTATATTTCCAATATATACTTGGAGCATGAAAATTGTAAGAAACTTCATCTCATTTAATTCAGATTTCTCACGAGCAGAATTCACGAGCATTCACTTATTCTGAATAAATATATTTGCTTACTGCTCACAATTTATACATTAGTTTTTATACATAAACCATGAATTACATTTGCTCGTTGGAAAGATGATAGTTAGCCTAGTTGTTGTTGTTGTGGTGGTTTTTTGAGTTAGTGCTATTGCGCACTTTTGCGCCTTTATGGCTGGGGAGCTTATCCTTGAACCACACTAGGCTTTAACTATACAGGAATTAATAATGCAGGGGTTGGGCAGCGTATCAACTTTTGTGAATAATTTTAGGGCTCTGTTGTCCCTATATTAGTAAATTGCTCTTATGTTCAAGATATGAAACCAGTGAATTAAGAATCAAAGACATTTTTTATGTATTTTGCTTGTCTAAAATTTTGTTTTAATTTGAAGGTAAAAATTAATCGAAAGTTAAAGTTTTATTCTAATTTTCATCGAATGTATGGCTTGATCGGTAATAACTTGTATATAACTTACTGTTTGGATCACATATTCAAGAAACAACTTAAATTTGCTGAATGCATCCACAAGCGGTTAAATGCTTAAATGCAGTTTTTTGATTTAGTCATATTCACTAATATCAAATGAATGATTTATATTATTTCCCATATAGATTTTGTTATAGCCCTGCACTTTGAGTTGTTCGCGAACTGCTTATCTCAAGTGATAAAAATGATGTTATCTGTTTTTCTGTGTTCTGTGTTCAGTAATAAGTACTGCGATTTTTTCATTTAGTTATTGAAAAGATAAAAACATTAAAACTATATTAAATATCTTAACATGAATTTAAACATAAGCTTGAGTTTTTAAAACAAAAATTTATTTTAACTGTCTTTATAATTCACAGGAACACGAAAAGACATGTTTTGATGACGACGATGATGTTATATTATGTGATACCCCAGAACCAATGAATGATAATCAAGAAGAGTTAGAACCAAGTAACTCAATAGAATCCAATGAACAACGTAATATGTTTTTATTAAATTTTGGTTTAATATCTGACGAAGCATTAAAATTAAATAATGTTAAGCAACATGATAGTCCTGCAAAAGATGATTTCATGATACTGCACAAAACAAAGCATTTGCCAAGACGTAATCGTGCTGTTCAATCCCTAGCACGATGCCCAACAATTCCATTAACTTCACCTGCTGGTGAACTGTTAATACGTACTACAAAAGCGAACGTTACAACAGATTATATTAGTGAACGTTTCGATCGTCTCGATCGGTTTTGTCAAGCGCCATTGTTATTAAAAGGTTTACAACGGCCGAAATATTTTGATAAAAAGTGTTTATCCAGCAATACTCATGTAACTTATAAAAAACAACAGGATGTAGGGTCTCATGTTTATAGTTTCCCACGACGTCAGTATTCACAACGTCAACGTAAAGAGGATCTTGATTTTTTCAATGGGGAACTAATTAAACATTGTCGACCAATTGCAGTACGAATTAAAAAAATTAATGATCAAGAAGTTAAACAAACAGATGAGTCACCTATGGATATTGACACAAAATTTAATATTAAACAAATCTGGGAAAATAATGATAATGCAGATTACAAGAAATCAACAGCCAACCAAATACTTGTAGATACAATCGATTTATGTTCATCTGATGAGGACGAAGATGGTGTGAAAACAAATTCGCATTCAAATAAAACAATAACTGCACATTTAGTGAATAGTAATATTATTGTTAATACATCGAGTGCTGTTCATAAAGAATTAAATACAACAAAAGTTGTTCTAAATAATGCTCGCACATTATCAGTAGCCAGTCAGTGCGTTAATAACAATGAACAACCAACACTCACAGTATTCCGCAAATCATTGACCAATAGTGCCAAGATTCGATTAGGAACGCCAGTTATGAAAGTTAAACCTTTTGCTGTAAATAATGATAAAGTAACCAATAATACTCCACCATATGAGGGTGCAGTCTTGTTAACACCACCAACTGCGTCCCCTTCGACCTCATCAACAATAATATCAACTACACCCATAGCCACGGCACTGCTTACAACCGAAACACCAAATGTAACAAATGTTTTACCAAGACCTCTAGGACCATCTATGTATATATTTTCCAATTATACGGCAACAACACCCTTAACAGCTTTTGTTGCTGCGCCGAATAATTTTTTGTCATCGAATATGGAAGGCACGAATTTCCATAATTACAATCAGGAGAATCGTATGCAGAAAACAACAGGTACCATCATAGCAAGTAAGCGCGCTACATTACCAAGTACAAATGCTTTTACAGACTGGTTAGCAAATACAAATACTTTAGCGGTTTCTACTAGTAACAATGGAAGTAGTAGCAATTTAGTAACAAATTTAAACAATATATCTCAAAACGTAGAATGTGAACGTACAGCGAGAAGCCTGCCATTAGTCTCACAATTTACTGCAACGGGGCGTATAGTCTCAATAGATTTAACCTCTTAAATGCTTTAGCTACTCGTATAAAAATACACTGTCTTTTCTATTATGGTTCAGAAAAAAAAAATTAATATGTATTTAAAAATATTGGCATAAATAATTAGATATTAATTGGCTTTAAGATGGTGGTTTTTAAATATGAGTATAAACCACAGACAGATCAACGTCGAACATTTATTTGGAAATTTACTTTTATCATTATGTTTAACATTTTCCTAAAGCACTTCATTAACGTTGTTATATACAAGTATTAAATTGTGTAACTATGTAAAATCTTGCATTATTTCGCATTAAAAAATTAACAGTTCTGGGCTAAATACAATGTGAGTCCTGGTTCACATTTAGATTAATAAATGTAAAACCGACTCAACAATATTAGGTTGTGTTTGAAATGATGATCCAATCCATTACCTTTAATCGTTATATAAGCATAATTTTTTTAAGTTTGTTACTATAAATAAGAAATAGCAATGTGTAAATTTAATATTTGAGATTTGTTGCATATTTTATAAGAAGTATACTATAAAAACACTGATTTTCCTTATTATATACATTTATTTTATTATTATAAATAGTATATGTGAACACGAGTTTTTCACAACTTATTAAATAAGGGAAGATATATCATAAAAGCTGTAATATTTCGTTATTCATTCTTAAAAATTATTTATACTCAACATATTTTAAGTGAAAATTTTCTGTTGACTTATTAATTAAATGGTTTTTTCACGTATACAAAGAAAAAAACCATTGTAGAAATTTTTTCTCATTCATTTGAAGTAATTTCCCACGTAATTGAATATCAAATAATTAATTTTGAAAAATTTCATCAATGAAGAATTCGTCTATGAATAAATGACATTTTTTTTTTATTTTCTAATATATATACTGATTTTCGTTTAATAATTTTAATAATGAACTCAATTTTTTTTTTTTAACTAGAAAAACACACACTTTGTTGAGGAAATGAGAATATTATATTTTATTTTAAGTTTACACTTTTTTTTTCTATTATTTTATAAATTTGAAAATATTTCTCAATCATACGTTGTATGTTAACATTTAATTTAAGTATATAAAATAGTTATATCTTCTTTGCTAATAATCTGGATTAAAATGTGAAATTATAGTTTTAATATATTTACAATTAATACACTAATTCATATTTGGCATATGTTTAAAAACATATAACTAATGATAATTGCCAATGATAATTTTTTAAGTTTTTGTAACTCATAGCTTATATTAAAATAAAGTATATGTTAAAGTACTTAAAAAATTAAAATATTTTCAATAATTTTTTAAACATATTCTTGATTTTATTAAATAACTTTTTTAATTTAATATATATATATTTTTTTTTTTTTTGAATAGCGATACCAAATTTTTATTATTTGAAATATTTTATATATATATTTATTTGTATATAATGTTATTTCTTTGAATGACAAAATATGTAATTTATGGTATAATATGTGTTTTTAAAATTTTTTTTTTTACTTTCACTATATTGTAAATTAATTTCCAAATGTACTCAATTTAGCGTATTGTCATTACATATTTCATATATAGTAAACATTTCATAATATTTTATATTTTAAGTTTAATATTTGTTATATAAATATTACATTAATTGAAAAAAAAACAACTTTGGAAATTTTTGTGACATTGTCCAAATGCAATCTGTACTACAAACACGAATTTGAAAATTTTTGTGACATGGTCTATATGAAATTTGTACTCCAAAAGTTACTTTGGAAATTTTTGTAACATATTCCGCATGAGATCTACACTGCAAAAACAAATTCGAAAATTTTTCTGACATGTTTCATTGTTTTCTAAAGTTGTTTCTTATAAATTGTTTATTATTATTTTTATGTATTTAATTTCAACATTATGTAAAAAACTTTGGAAATTTGTGCGACATGATCCACATATAGAATTTGTACTCAAAAGCTTTTACTTATAAATTGTTTCTTATTTTAATATATTTATTTCAAAATTACTTTTTATTTTAAATTTTTAATATTAATAAAACAAACATGTATGCATTATTTTTAATATAATTTTTTTAAATACTTTGATTCCAGTAATATATTTTTTCTTTATTTTTAACTGTGTAATATTTTGATTTAAACATATGTAGCCGTAATATGGCGAGAAATATTTTAAGACTAATTATTTATAATGACACATAAATATAAAAACATATGTAAGCATATATATATAAACATCATTAGTTAGATCAGAAATATTAAATTGACAATGTAGCAAAAATTTAAAACAAACAATTTAAAATGTATAATATCAATTAAATAATAAGAGACACAAAAATTTTAGAAAATTTTATTTGTTGAGGAGTGTTGACTCACTATTATATATTATTTAAAAATATTTATTTATTTCTAATTATATTATATTTTAAATGATAAATTATGAAATGATGTATACAAAAATTTCTATAAATTACACAAAATTGAAAGATAACATTTATATATCTGAATGATTTGAAATTTTCATTTATTATATAAAATTTTTATTATATATTTATTTACTCATGTTTTTTATAATACGAAATAATTTCAAAGATTATCTTTTGTAAAAAAAATTATATATTTTTAAACTTCATATTACTGGAGAAATGATTTTTAATTTTTTTAAGTTATGAAAATTACTTTTGAGATTTGCGCTGGAGTTGTAAAATATTATAGTTTGTAAAAGTGTGGTTGAAGACCACAAAAGGCAAACAAAACGAATCCTAATGTATATAAAATAAAACAAGAAAACTGAAGAAATAATTGAGTTTTAATTATACAAATGCAATATATGAAATTTTCGCTATTCTGAGAAACGAGTATTGGGAAGTACCTTCTACTCAAAAAGTATCCGGATTTTGTTGTTTGTTAACTAGTCCTTAAGTAATGGACCTTTTTCAAATTTTTTTTTGTTATGTTGGTACACCCTTTCTTGACATATGGTACAAATTTAAGCGCCATCTGTCAATTAGTTTGTTTACAGCAACTGTTAATGTGAGACTACCTCAAGTGCATTTAGCGATTTTTACTATGGAAAATTCTTGTTGTACGCGATTTTTTGACCAAACACGGCTGTCAACACCACAGTTATCGCTCAGGCACCATATTCGCCAGATCTGGCGCCGTGCGACTTTTACCTGTTCCCGAAACTCAAATTGCCCCTTCGTGGTAAGCATTTCGGTAAAAGAGAATTCGCTGAAGGAACTGAAAGCCATACCTGCACGGGCCTACGAAAAGTGTATGGAAGATTGGGTTAAACGTTTGCATATGTGTATCGCTTCAGAAGGAGCATATTTTAAAGGAGATAAAATAAATTTGGAATAAAATTTAAATTTTTGTGTTTTTTTTACAAAATCCGAGTACTTTTTGAGCTTTAGGTATTAGGTGTACATTAGACCTTTTAATACATGTAAGTACGAAAAGTAAGGAATTTACAACACACTTTCTCGATATTTTTTCCTTTTCATTGAATGCACTAAAATTCGAAACCAACTAGATAACTCCTAATAAATGATAAGAGATAGGTCAAGGCTCTCGAATTTAAAATTCAATTCGGCAGTCCTATTTTCATAAAGTACATGCTTCCTACAATCACTAATTTTATTTAACATTTTTTTCAGTAACTATTTTATCAATATCTATTTCGGGTTTTTTTTGTTTTTGTTAAAATTTTTATGTGACTCTTTTTTAAATCGTGTACTTGAATTAAATTTATATCATACAAAATACTTTAAAAAATATTAGTACAGCAAGTACACAAAAATGCTCTTCCACAAAAAAAAACATTTAAATTAGATAAGGCAGCAACATATATATATATATATATATATATATATAAGTTCATAAAAATGTTGATGAAATTAGTAATTGTTAATGTTGGAATCAGTAATTGTATTAAAAGTCCACCCATGTCTAACAGCTTCATTAATTTTATAGACAATGCAAAACAAACAAAATGAGAATTATTATTGCATTTTTTAGTGACTAAAAAATAATATAATAATTTTTGAACCGGTCATTGAAATAGTCATTTAATTAAAAACTATAACTTAATCTAAATATATATATAAAAATTATATTTTATTAAAGTGATATTCCAATATTTCAAATGTCTTTCATAGTCAACTTCAGGGAACTAATAAAATATATATATAATGTGAAAATATTTTGAAAGGGCTAATTGGTCAATTAACGATTTTCGCCGTTTTGCTGCCACATTTCTTGAAGAACCCTAGTATAGAAAAGTAAAGATTAAATCCATCCCGCCGAATTTATATAATTTAATAGGCCTTTCATGTAGAAGTATCTTCCTAAGAACTTATATCTTCAGAGATATATCTGAATATCAGAGAAAATGTATTATGATTTCATTTTCCTGCGGGTTTTCACAACTACTGCAGTGAGGATTATGAGGAATTCTCAGTTTCTCTGCTTGGGTTCCCATACACCAATGACCAGAACGAACTATAGTAAGCCTTGCAGTGTTCACGCGACCTCTTTTGATGAGTTCCGAGGATCTATTTTTATTATAGGTGGGCCATGCTAACCTGGAGGCGCAATATTACAGTTTTAGGAATTTATCTTACACACAAAGTAACGCTTCCTGTTTACACACTATTCAGAAGTGTGTAGCACTGAATCTAACTTACCGTTTATGCTGATTCCGCTATGATCAGCAAGCTATAGTCAAGCTGCATACAGCATTCTTTGTTTATTTGATGAACAATGTTGCGCTTTTGATCTTTTTTATTTCTACGTAATAACGCGAAGATATCATCTACGTACTTCGTCAATAACTTTGGTCTGTATTTCATATCGCCCATACATTTATCCAGTAATTCTTTCATCACGATATCAACTATAATGTGACGACGGCGAATCCATTCACATACCTTTACGTTGTTTATAAATTTTGTTATATAGCATAAATTATTATAGCATAAATTATATAGCATTTTTTTGAGATCAGTGAACAGTCAGTAGTCGCTGGGGGCCAGATCTGGACAATACGGTGGATGAGGAAGCAATTCGAAGTGTAATTCGTGCAATTTTGCCATCGTTTTTATTGACTTGTGACATGGTGCATTGTCTTGGTCAAACAAAATTTTTTTCTTCGCCATATGCGATCGTTTTTTCACAATTTCTGCTTTCAAACGATCCAGTAATGCCATGTAGTAGTGACTACATGGCACTACTGGTTTTTCCCTTTTCGAGATAGTCAATGAAGATTATGCCATACTTAAGCCATAAATTTCCCAGCAGACTGTTGTGCCTTTAAACGCTTCGGACGTGGTTCACCGGCTGCAGTCCACTCAGATGATGATCGTTTTGATTCATAAATGAAGTGATGGATCTATGTTTCATCCATTGTCACATATCGACGCAAAAAATCTGATTTATTATGATTAAACATGGCCAAACACAGCTTTGCATCATCAACACATTGTT